CGTCTAGAGCCGTGGAGGTACCCAACAATCTTTCTCGCTGTCTCAGTCTAGTAGCTCTCGTTTCCCGAAATCGCGGAACGGGGAACAAACAGCGAACTGCAGAGGCAACGGTTCAACAGCCGGTGAATTTGTTCCCCACGGGCAACGATTCTCCTCGAGGCTTTGTTTAAGAATCGGCAAACGGTTTGCGAGGAGATTAAGTGCATCGGTACTTTTACAGATGTTTATCGCACTGGAGCCTGTTATACAGCACTGCAGAGTGCTCAAGACACACGAGGACGGTAACTAGGTTACCACATGTCACTGCAAACCTCAACTCAACTCGTCAAGAACTGAAGACAGTTTCAATTTTGCGGGGTCTAAAGAATGAGAATCTTCTCTCACCGCAGCTTTCTGGTGTTAATTACCTTTTCAGTAGTGGCAATACTGCGACATGTTTAAAATGGCTGCTCCATTATTAGAAAGCACCAACAATGTGACCAAGACTTTTGTTGTCAAAGGGTGTCAAAACCTGACAGTTAAATATAGTCAGAATTACGTGAGCCAGAGATGAATTTAGGAACAGATGAAAAAAGAACTCAAAATTAAAGAGAGAGGACGAGTGTTCTCGTAGATTGAAAAATGCCGAAACACGAAGCCCATGCATAACCATAATTGAAACAAATCTTAATTTATACACCGGAAATGTTAATATTATACTGTAAGCCTGCATGTCGTTGGAGTTAAAAGACAGCTCAGCGCAAAACTAAATAAAAACGACAAAACTGCGTCTGCAATGGCAATCGGTTATGAAAACAATTGACGGTAGAAGAATGGTCTAACACCTGCGTTATGTCGAAAACATTTACCTAACACAGAAGTCTTTGTGTGCATGGTCATGCCCGGAGTATAACGAGGGTCTACTGTCGTTAAAATTAAAATTAGGATGTAAACATGTGGAATGGATTCAACTGGAACAGGGTAATTTCCAATGTCTGACTTTTGTGGATACAGGCATGAACATTCGGGTTTTTTTTTGACAGGACATCTCTACCAGCTGAATAACTATCAGCGGATCCAAAGAACCCTGTAACACTGTCATATTTTATATAAGAGAATCATTAAGTGGAAATTGTTGAGGCTGTTAAAGGCTACATCATTAGAATGGGCCGTGTGGTAACAATATGGCGAAGAAACGAAACAGTTGAAACTCTCACGTCAGCTGGTGTCTTGATTAGTTCACACAGAACACGGAAAGGACCAGCTCGGCAGATTTTACGACTGCTGAATACCACAATCATTCTGTAACTGTTGCTTTGTTACGTAATTAAACGTTTACTGTTCACCTTGCATTCTTAACAAACTACACACTCAACACTGACAGTGTCACAACGTGTCTATTGCACCAACAATGTACACGGTGGGATTTGAGGTGAGTCTGAGGACGGAGGAATTCTGTGAAATTTACACTTACTTCACTCATATCACAGAACAAGAGTAAAAGTAATTCTGCCACGTCAAGCACTTTTTTTGACGTAAATACGTCTATATTGAAGGGTCATTCGGCAAAAAAGGGGAACGAAAAAGTGTAACGTTGTTACCTAGGAAACGTTACATTACTCGGCATTGTTGTTACCTAGGAAACGTTACATTACTCGGCATTGTTGTTACCTAGGAAACGTTACATTACTCGGCATTGTTGTTACCTAGGAAACGTTACATTACTCGGCATTGTTGTTACCTATAAAACATTACATTACATTACATTCAGCTACCACAGACCCATCTTAAGCGTAAGTAATTCAAGTTAAATACGCAATGTCTTAATCAAAATTATCTCAAATTTTGAAGGATGTATAAAGGAAATATTTAGAATAAAGCCAATATATAAACTTCCTTTCCGTATAGACGTATTTACATCTAATTCTCTGGAACCGTGGTTCCACTGCCAACTTTTTGGTTAAAGAATTTCAGTTTTTACATTCTCATGCTTAAAAATAAAAACAAGTGTTTCTTCATAACAAGCCTTAAATTAATTACATGTCAGTCTTCCATCTTGTGGTGCAAAAAGAAAAATAATACGCGGGTCCTTTGCCTTCACTTAAAAGCGTGAGGCAAAGCAACAATGAAAACTCCTTATCAAACAAAAAATCTTAAATTTATGCAAGATCAAATAATGATGGTATCTCACAGCAACGGAAGTGCCAGCGCATTCCAGCCACTCCAACAATGAACTTCATAGAGTTATTTTAATACAGCCTAATGTAAAGTTACGAAGGCAGAAAATAATTAAAAGAAAGTGCATAGACAACCTTCCAACAAAATAATAACACAGTAGTTCCGTGAATATTATTTTTCTGCTTAATTATTCTGTCCCGTTCAATGTATTTGATCCCACACGCATTTCCTGATCACATCAAAATATATTTTCGATACAACTTATGCCAGTCTTGCACGGTGTGTCTAACATCCTTGCAGCCTTGAACGGGGGATCGATAATCGCAAGGCTTTTACTTACATATAGCGACAGATTATGACTTAAAATCGTGTTTTTTGCGAGTTCAGACAGGCTTCAAACAACTCGTTACCAACCCTAACCCCTAAAATTAACGTAACTACTGTGATTTATTGATTCAGACGTCCATATTCAGAACAGACACGGTGTCATAACAGGAAACACAGATATCGTTCACCCTACATAAAGTTCCCTTGGACTTCATGATGGTATGTGAAGATCTCAATTACAGAGTGCAAGTAATGACGCGTGTTCCCACTCATGAGCGATATTCTGCACGAAATACCATATTAAAGGCCTAATGAGAATGTATTCTAACCTTGAACACAGACTCCAAGAGGCGTGGATTCCACTCAGAATCAGAACACGGTAATAACCACTTTGTAGCGTCCAGGTTCCCATCTCAACAAAAAGTTATAATAAACTACAGGATCTGAAGTGCACAGCACAGTCGAGGAAATAAAAGATGGTTCTACCGCGAAATCGGGGTTGAATTCATTACCAAACTAGAATTAAATGAGTGACTTGCGTGAACCAATTATTCTAATAAATTCTGTAAAATATCCGGGCAAATCCGATTCCCTCATTGCAATAATGTTTAATGCACATTCAGACATTAAGAAGGTTCAAGAACATCACCAAATCTCATCCACCGACACGAACTCTGGTGGTCGAGTTTTAAACACTTCTGCGCATTTATTGTCACGTGATCTAGCAAGCCAATCAGCTTCTGAGAGTTGGTGTATAAAGTATCCAGTTACATCAAAGGTGAAGCAGACGCCATTTGTCTACATACATCTCTCTCAGCCACTCGTGTCGGTTACTTTACGCACAGCTGGTAGGATAATATTAAAAATTCATCTTAAAGGGCAGATACACGAGAATGGAATTTCGTGATTAATATATTGGAAGGGATTTATTCAGAAGCTAAGCAACTATCAGATTATCTGCTCTTTTGAGAAAGCGATGTTATATAAACATTTACAATCAGGCTTACAGCAAAGGATTTTACATAAGACGTTAGGACAAGCTGTTTTTTACAATGTAATACCTGTTACGCAAAAGGTAAGGAACTGGAAATTTCAAAATATTTGTGAATGTAGGTTATGGTCCCTTGATTTTACGTTCTGTAGAGGTTCGTGAACTGGCCCATACACTTTCATATTCCCACCAGCGCACAGCGCAATGACTTGTATTGTTCATTTACATCTACCAGGCTATATTTATGTTCATACATACTGGGAACACTTCGTCAAATGTAATTACTTATTAAAACATACATACTTCTGCGCAGAATGGTAATTTGTATTGACGTGTTATCCCACATTACCCTTTTTCACGTCGCACAACAAACAGAGACTCTCGTTAAGCCTCTGTACGCTCGTTAAGTTACTCCTGACTGAAGATGGCCGCCTTCTGGGTTGTTGGGCGACAAAGGGTGTTCCTCCAGCGTGGGGGTTGGGCGGGGAGGCCGACAGCTAATCACCGTAAAAATGAATAAAGTAAAGTACTTTAAGGAATTGCATGGAAAACCTCGAACTTGGGCGCATTCTTTTAACGAACGACATATTGGGAAGATCTAAACACACGAGAAAGAAGTACTACATGGAAAAAATAAAACAGGCTGATAATTACTAATGCCAGATTGATTAATGATTTGCATTCAAGTTTATCCTAATAACAGTAATATGAAAGTCGAAGATTCTGAATCTGATACAGCGTTATTTATTTTACAGTCAGAATAAAAACCCCGACATACAAGCCAACAACCTTTTAGAAGAACACTTTTTGTCTTCAGAAGAGGAAATTCTCAATTATGAAGTAATAAATTGCGCATTTTTATACGTGAATTAATTACAGATGGTAGGGTTATGTGATGTGGGGAAAAGATACTGAGAACAGGATGTGGTGAAGCAAGAACCTCGAAACATATGCGTGAAATCCGCCCTAACCCCTGCAGCTACGCAACGTCACGCACTGAACGGATACGTCGGGACAGCAGACACCTCCATCTGTGGGGAAGGGTCACGCACCAAAGACACTACTTCGATTCCTTTACAGGGCAGGGATTTCTCTTTGTCGCGTCGTCCGGACTGTCCCTGGGGATCATACCTCCTCTCCAGTGGGTTGGCCACCGAGGATACTTTCCCAGGTATGAAAGCGCACGGAGCAGCGAGTCGCTGTTAGCCACCTCTTCCTGGGTTAACGTGAGCATGGGTCTTAGGTAAGTCGACTAATTTGTTTCAGGAAAACTTGCAGTGGGCCTACATGTTATTTTACCAAAGTAAGAGACACTGTTTCACACCCGACACAAAGAGCAACCTTTTCTATTTTCCGATCAAAATCTCAGTTCCACAGTCAGCACGAATTTTCTGTTTGGGAGTAGCCGGGTTCGAATCTCGGCTATCATGCAAACTCTGCCTTAAAATAAGACCAACAACTTCCTTTCACATGAAGTTACATCAACAAAAGCTATTTTCTGAATTAAGAACTTCTTCCTTCTTACCTTACATTGTATTCGGCTATGTCCTGAAGTGTTTTCTGACAACTGTTCCTGGCACATACCTGCAAAGGAACAGAGTTAGTATGAAATATGTTAAGTTCACTCAAGACCGTCAGAAATATTCAAACACGACATAAATTATATTACGTGTACCGAAAATTGTCCAAAAAGGTTTCAAGCTCTGTGAACAGGTAATATTCTGCAATAATATTAAATTCCCCCCAAAATTTGATAAATATTATTTCATGACAACGATTTGCTACATAATCCTCTTTAACTTTTGCTTTATTATTCAGTTTTCAGTTAGCTCGGTCGCCATATGTAAACTGTTACATCATCATACGCATAGTTGAGTAACAAATTCACTAAATCTGCGCCTTCCTACGGCTTGACGACCGCGGTTCGATTCTCGGTATGTATAGAGCATTTCTGTCACACCATTCAGATCATCTGGGACCCACCCAGCATCCTGTCCAGTCTACACCTGTCAGGAGGTCCACAATCACTAGCAGCTTCACTGTTGCCACGATAACCCACCCACTAACATAGACATTTTACATTAATGTAAATTGTTTGTATGCCTTCGAGAATGGAAACTCTGAGTTCCCATGCAAACCACCAACAAATAAAATGTTTTTTTTTCCTTTAAGTATTTAGCATTGAAAGCGTTTGGCACGCAAGAATCAATGAAGAAAATAATAGCTTAGAATGGACCCCCCGTCTTACGTAACTGAATAAGTTATGTGTCTGTTCCGAAATGAAACATTCCTTATTTCGCTTTCTAGCAGATTCTGACTTTCTTTGTTCAAATTAGGCTTTTTGTTCTGGGCTATAATGGCCGATGATGTAGGAGAGACATACCAGAAAGAATGAGGCGTTCATGTGGAACTGAAAGAAAGTACAGGAGATAAAACCTCAGCCAAAGATGCGTGTCCAACTGCCGCGGAAGTTTCAACACTCCTCCCCCCGTCAAATAGCTCGAGATTACACACGGGGAAAAAGGTTCCCGGTTAGAACCTACTTCACCGTCGTAACTCCCGCGATCTGAACCCGTCCCCAGCAATAAAATGGCCAGTCAACACCTCACTGACACGTAAAAATACTTTTAAAAGAATTTTAAAACTTTTGATCTTTATAACATGTTCCACATTGAAGCATCATTACTTTGAAAGGTTTCTCTTTATTTCGTGATATTTTTGTTGCAAGATTAGTAGTCGCAGGATCTCGGGTTCGATTCCAACTGCCGTCATTAATATACATATATGTATGTGTGTGTCTGTGCAGTAGAGAACCCTGATATTTCACTGTTAAGTCTTCCTGTGTGGGTCCTACATGTGAACTGAATCTTAGGTCACAAAATACCGGAAATTTTAAACAGGAAGTTGTCGTTTCTACGTCCGAATAGGATTAATTTCTAGTTTTATTTGCACTGAACGCAAGTGTGCGCAAAGCGTATCAGACAGCGTAAATTACAGAGTTGCAAGAACCCCAGAGCGACAGAGAAAGCCAAGCCCGTCTTCGAAATGACGGCCGAGAAGCGGTTGCAGGTCGACCAGGAGACGTGAGTGCCCTCAACGAGGCAACCGGATATACACGGCAGCGCCCTCCATAAACAAATGGCGGCCGGCATCAAAACTGGTGAACATTTACTGAACCGAAGACAAAATGCGATTTATTGAACTTTCTGTGTGTTATTTCGATATCAAACCACAACTTGGCCGCATTCCGCGATTCAGAATATTTCTTTCCACCTCAACGGAGGAAGTTCAAGCCTGTTCCGACTTAAAAATATCCGTGTTCTGAATTGTCTCGTGTATCTTTGCGTGTGCATTTGGTTCGAAAAGAACTGAAAATTTTGAAGGTCTGACACTGTTCACTCCATTTTCTTTTGTAGTAACCTATCTTTCCATTTAACTGAATAAATAATTATAGGTAGTTCCTTCCCTACATCTTCGTTTTTAATTTAGTTTAACCATTTAAATCCAAGTGGAAAGTATATGTCCCACCTGTCGTAACAAACAGCAACTCTTCATTTTTGTAAATATTGGTTTCGGATTATTCTCACTGTAAACAGCGATTATTTCCTTAAACAACATTTACAAGTTTGCCGTGAAGTGTTTTCTTTGAGGTACGGGCTGAAATCGTAAACAAAATTTAGACGAGTTTCGGCTTCGAAGATTTGTCGTTATCCAGGCTTCAAAAGTATGGGAACTGCGATCCATAACAAGGCTTCTAGATTATTCCTAGGTTAGCAACGACAAGACTACACCTTGATCTAAAAGGAAGCACCGGACAGAACGACACCGTTATGAAAATTGCGTATTGCTTCTGTAATATTGGGTCACTCTAAGTCCATCTCGGGCAACGAGTGAAACGCCCGACTGGTTTCTGCGGTCAAACTGAACGTAAGAATCAAATCAAAGCACATGTTTACATTTTTATCTAAACGAACGACATAATTATCCAGCTAAGCGTGCACAAATTCCCAGCTAAATTCTCTTAATACCAAATTACTGACAGGCCTACAGCACCTAGCACGAGTATGGTAAATAGGCAACGCCTCCTTAGTAACTTCCATCTGGAAGGTACCCAATTCGAGACCCTGTATGATCATCAGCTATCCTGACTGTTTTCCACGTTCTGTGAAGACGAATGCCGAAATACATGCTTCAAATAAATCATTAACATTTTATCGCATATCCCTCTATGACGGTGAAACAACGTTGTTAAATAACCTAATAATCTCTTATTATATAAATTATAAATACAAATAAGGTCTAATTTGGACGCCTTTAATTTTCCTGAAAGTCAGCATAATTATAATCTTACACCAAGTTCTTCAATAATAGTTACTGAACAGCATTAAGGAAGCTCAGCACATAACGGCAGAGTGGTTGGCCGCCCTGCTTCGTATTCAGAAGATCCCGGGCACAATCCTCATCTCACGAGCGTGGTTTTTGTCACCCCTCCATGAAAACACTGAAACTGCGTCTTATAATAGGGCCTTACTGCTTATTTCCGTGCTTTTTCAGTTCATCTTTCGAAATCCTGCTTCCATTCGATTCCATATAATCTACAACCTGAAGAAAGCGCCGATAAATAGACCGAGAAGCACAGCAAATGATTGGGGGGGAGGGGGGTTTCCCCATTTACTTCGTGACTCTTAAATACACGTTACTTACAAGCTGTGTAAATTATTCTGACCGCTTGTTTCTTCATGGTTCACTTCAATTCCTAAGTCATTTGGGTAACAAATACGAATGTCCAAAACCGTTAATACCAACGTCCGCTATTGGACACTATCCTGAGCCAGTTTCATCCACTTCTCACCTACCTGAATCCAAATTTTATTTGTTTATGACAAGCCAGTTTTCATTTATATTTGTCGGGTTTAACTAGTGTTTAAATGGGTCACATTATATGCCTATAGCATCAAATGACTAGTGACAACTAGTGAAGTCCTAATCTAGCGTAAAAATATCAGTCAGAATGCCTTTCCGGGCCGAGATATCAGCCCGGGACCTGTCGAATACGAAGCAGGCCTACACAAAATAGTACGTAAAAACATCGTTGCTACAAAAAGACGTATACACACAACCACAACACGCATCAACATTGCGTATACATACATGACTTGAAGATCTCGCGGCGACAAAATTCAATAAAGTCTTCTCGGGCAAATAGCCGTGTCAAATGGTTAGACGATGATGACATCATAACCCTGATGATGGTGACAGATGGTTCCCGAAACGTTGGTCGCTTCGTGTGACCATCTGACAAGGCTGATTGCCCAGAAAATTAGATTGTGTATACATCTTTTTGGGACATTCTGTACATTACATACATTCATACACGTAAGCCATAGCAGCGTATACACACTTTTACATATATACTTTGATACGTACATCGACGCTAGCGCTCACCAAGTACATGACCTTGAAACCTTCAACCTCTCTCTGTCTCATTAACGTTCTACAGAAAAACTAAAACATATGAAACTGATAAGAAAGAGATTTCCAGAAAAACGACGACTGTGTGAAAGCCACTACATGCCATGTAACAGAACTTCGGAGTGCTAAGCAAACTTAAGTCCTGCTGCCTACCTCAGCTGTGAGTCGCAACATCACTACACACCACTTGACACCAATCACTGACACACACTCAACACCGCGTGCCTTGCAGTCATCAGTGTTGTTGTGGTCCGTTTGTTATTAATTCAACGACATCTCTCCACTGCATATACTTGTGTCGGGCAGCAGCTGAAGACCGCTCGTCCTCGCGTCTTCCTGCTAGGCACGCCAAGGCGAAACTGGCGATACGTAAGGCAAGAAGACTTTTTCAGCCCGACAGCGTAAGCCAAAGCACGGCTGGCTTGATTACCTGGCCAACAGACCCCACAACACAAGCAGCGAAAGGAACGAGGAGACAGGAAAACGACAACGCATTTATCATTTTGTTTTTGCATGTAATGCGTCTGTCTCAGATCTTCAACGCAGTGATTCATCATCGTCCTGACGATAAATACAGAAAGCACATCTGAAACGTCGGTAAACTTCTATCAGACTATACACGGCGGACCGTTCCAAAAGACATCGAGAACCTGAAATCTCACCAAACTTAATCCACCTATTTGTTTCTCAAATTTCGGCTACTTTGCTGGGTCAGAATATCATGTTTACCCCAATTTATATGGTTACAAACTTGGAGCCAACCTTCTTTCTTTGTTCTACAAATCTACATACTATACGTTTCTTAATTACAAAAATCTAAACTTGGGATAATATTACATCCGTTGCCATGGCAATGTTTTTAAGGGAAATCTACAATGTACACGTACGCCGCATTGTAACTTCGATATCAAATCACAATTAAAATGTCGGTACCTCAAATCGTAATATATCCTTAAATTAAGTAAAGATACACATAACAGTACTTAATCTAATTTGTTATACGTTTGTTTGTGGAAACAATGCACTGAAACAAAAGACTGTTCACTCATCCATGGCTTGTTATGTACTTAAAAAAACATCTCAACTGATGCCACTGAACAGAATCCTTCTCG